ACAGTGAGTGCCATTAATATCCGAAATCGGATTACGGTAAACTACTTTTATTTCTACTTCTATTAATCTACTAGTATTAGTAATACCTAGTTTCCTACTAACTATTTAAGTATTTTACCCCTCCTTTCTTTAATCTTCTTTACCACCTCTATCACCACCTCTACCACCACCTCTATCACTACCTCCACTACCTCCACCACCTCTATCACCACCTCTACCACCTCCACCACCTCCACTACCTCCACTACCTCCACCACCTCCACTACCTCCACTACCTCCACTACCTCCACCACCTCTACCACCACCTCTACCACCACCTCTATCACCACCTCTATCACCACCTCTATTATCACCACCTCCTATTAGTAAAAATATCATGACTCATTATTATGTCATATGTGCGTATAGCGTGAAGCTAATCTTTTCTACCCCTTTTAGTCTTAGTTAGGTATTATAGCGTATAATAGATATAAAACTACTTTTTATACTTAATTTAAACCACCTATAATAAAGGTAAACTACCACTTTAAACCTATTTATGGGTATACACGAGGTTAGTTTACACCTATATAGTAAACCCCTAGCGTACCATTCTATAGTAAACAATTTTTTACCGTAGTGCGGATGTTAGGTGCACTTTCGTGCAGCGCTCACGTTTTCAAAATATTTGTCCATACCAAAGGGATGTCTTGACTCTACATCTCTCTTCAATCAAGCGCAGCCCCTTACCTGTTACATGCTAACCATGGAAATCAGCCACGCAAGCATACATCCGCCAAGCCAACTATCAACGAACCACCCAAAGTCAATATATCACGATCGCAGTTCCAAGTCGTGCACATCTTGTCTGGTTCGGGATCACCCAAGCCGCATGCATCATTCGCTTAACAGAGCTTGATGCAGGCGAGTGGTGTCTTGGCAAGCTGAAGGCGAAGCTTGGTAGCTCCCGTATAGCGTATTCCAGAGTTTCGCGGTTGCGCTTATGAATGAGCTTTGCGGCGAGCATGTTTATGTTGATGATGATGATGCTAGTGGGTAGAAGAGCCTCAGTATTTAGTGTTTTGATGCTGGCGGCGCAAGTATATGGTAGTGTACATGAAATTGGTGGTATTTTGCTTTTTCAGACTTGTATCCGAAAGCGCGATCGAGAACAGGGCTTCTGTCGACTATTCCAGGAATCTCACCAAAGTCTCCAACATTTCCCTCTCTGCAGGCTCAACGGCCAAGACCCCGTTGAGTTGTTCCTGGAGCGTCTTTTTGACATCTGCTAGGCTTTCATCTCTTTCGCTCAGCGCTTTCACGATAGCTTGCTTCGCGCCATCGTCTTCAGCCACTAGCCATGCGAGAATTGCATCAATTCGCTCAAGGCAGTATAAGCCTTCGCTCAATCGTGTGGGGATATTCTCCAACTCTAATTCCTCCAACTCTTCTTTTGATAGACCGCGCTTCCTGTCCTTCATCTTGTCATCGAATGCTGCTAGTCGTGTTGCATAGTCTCGCCGTAATGTGACGAGCTTTGTAACTTTATCGTAGTCCTTTTCGAGAAATTTGGCGAGGAGTCTAAAGCGAGAGTCTGAGTTCCCTGGTAAGGAGCGTAGCAGCGACGCAAAAATTCTTCCT